TATATATATATATATATAATATATATATATATATATATATATATATATATATATATATATATTATTAAATAAATAATCTTCAAATGCGATAATAAAGTCAATATGTTTGTTATCTTATTTATAATATTTATACTTTTTGCATTTTTATCTTCATATTTATATATGTATACATATATATATTTATATCTCTCTTCTCATCTGTATGTATATATATGCAGATTTATATTTATAGTGTCTTTTTCCGTTATATTTATAACTATTTATAGCGATATATAATTTAAATAGCTGTACTGAGACTCGCAAACTGGTAACCATTCGTTCGTTCTCTAATGAGTTAAACACGAAGTTAGGACTTCTTGTCGATATATCTTCTCTCTCTTTCTCTTTTTCTCTCTCTTTCTCTTTCTCTCTTTCTCTCTTCATACTTTATCCTCAAGTCGCCTGAACGTCGTCTTCGCGCGTTTCGTTCAGTCTTCGCGAGCGTACGAGGATCATTTCTCTCTCGAACGAGACGAAAGACCAACTCGTTCAACTGGGTCTTCCGTCTCTCGTTGCTCCTTCAAACTCGTCGAACCTCCGGGCCGTTTCCAGGCCCTTGGGTCGGACGTCTCGAGATCGCGTATCGACCTACCACCTCTCCTAATCCCGAGAGGTGACCTCGGACATTTCGCGTCGAAAGATCCTGCTGAAGTCGCGCTGTCGGAGTGCACACGTCCCTGGCGAGATCAGTCCGGCCTCGCGCGACTTACAGTTGTTTGTCTCAGAGATCTCCCTTGTTCTCGAGGTCCCTGAGGAGGAAGATCCCCGTCTTTAGTACACTGGGTAAGGCGGCCTGTGCGGCCACAGCGGCGGGATCGGCGGTAGGCTTCCGTTCCAGGATCAAGTATCCTTGCTGCTGAGCGAGGAGTCCTCGTCTTTGATCACTGGATACGGAATGTCTAGCTTAGGGCCCTGCTGTACCACCACCACGCACTTCCTCATGTGCTTCTCCAGCGTGCTCGGCACCGAAAATGGCATTTCGCAAAAGCGACACTTGTACGTATCCTTACCGTGTCGACCATGAGTCTTCATGTGCCTGGTTAGCTTCGAGCTTTGAGCGCACGCGTATGAGCAGAGCTCGCATTTGTATGGCTTCTCGCCGGTGTGCGATCGCCTGTGCACCGTCAGGTTCGAGCAGTTCTTGAAGACCTTGCCACAGTACTCGCAGGTGTCATTCCGACCGCTTCGCTCTTTTTTCAGCAGCGGACTCGGTAGGCCCTGAAGTGCCAGACTCGACGTCGTAGCCTTGGACGCCTTACGGAACTCGTTGTTCTCTAGATAATGCGGACTAGGTAGCCAGAGACCGCCAAAGTCCGGTCCAGAGGACCTAGGAAATCCCTGACCGGAAAAGATGTTCGGTGTCGTGGAGGAGTTGAAATTCGTAGGCGAGAGCGCGCTCTCCTTCTCCTTGTTGTTGTTCAGAGAATTGGTGAGATTGCACGGCGAGTCAGTTTTCAGAAACCCACTACGATGGTTCTCTTGCAGGGCTTGTCGATAAGCTTCCGAGTACTGAGCGATATTGCTCAATCCGAACTTCTCCATGAGATCACCCACCAGACTGGCCGGTTTCTCAACCCGACCACCGCTCTCCTCACCGCTTTGCCCTTGAGTGGTGCTCAGGTCCTCCGGTGTATTTTCCTCCGCGTCCTCTCGTTCGTTCTTCTGTTCGTTCTCCTCGATTTCATCCAGGTCCATATTCTCGTCGCAGCTGGATCCGTCATCCGGTACGGTCTCAACGCTGCCTTGTGGACTTGCAGCTGAATTCAAATGATCTTGGTGTTCCTTTCTCATGTGCTTCCTCAATTCGGCGAAGCTAGCCACTTCAATTTCACACACCTCGCACCTTGCCGGTGTGCTTTGGCTGTCTTGCATGCCTTCCTGCTGTTGCTGCTGCTGTTGTTGCTGCTGCTGCTGCTGTTGTTGTTGCTGCTGCTGCTGATACTGTCTCTCCTTATCCCGATGACTCCGACGATGAACGATTAAATTCGACTGGAATCGAAACTTCTTGTCGCATACCTCGCACGTATACACCGTTTCCGACGAGGAATCAGTAATGATCGGCGTAGAGGCCACTGGTGGACTAGTTTTTTCACTGTCCGTCGAGTTGTTGTTGTTATGATGACCCACCGGGCTCTGGCTGTAACATGGTGGCGAGTTCTCCTTCTGATGATTACCGTGAGTTAGATTCGTAGGATTAGTCGTGGCTGGGCTAGGAGGTTCCACCGACTGAGAATGAGACTGTGATTGTTGTTGTTGCGACTGTGGCTGCGGCTGTTGTTGCGGCGCCGGCGGCGGCGGTGGTTGTTGCTGTTGCTGCTGCTGTTGTTGCTGTTGCTGCTGAACAGTGTTGACAACCGGAACCGGCGGTACCGGCGGCGGAGGAGGGGGATTCGTGGTAGGATTACCGCTAGTAGGTGGAGCCGCGCCTAAGGACGGATTAGCGAGGCTCCTTAGGCGCGCCGAGTAAAAATCCAGGTTCGCTTCGAGTGGTGGTGGGTGTGCCTGACCAGCGAGACCGCGACCGTGCGAAAGCTCGGCCAAATTTGCCAGGTTCCGGGCGTTGTTCAAAGAGTCCAGCGAGCTGCGCACCAGCGGATCTCCTAGATTCAAGCCGTCCATGCCGCGAAGTGGGTCCCCCAGATTCTGCAGGTTTCGCGTGGCTGTCTGTAGCTCTTGAAGACCCCTGTAACCCGCCAGGGGATTCAGGGTAAGGAAGTCCGGCCTGAACATAGGTGGGAAACTTCGTTCCAGGTGTTGGGGTAGCCTCAGGAAACTATGGAGAGGATCGCCCACCAGAGAAGCCGAGGTCTGTAGCTGTTGTCGACTGCCGCTACTTCCGCTGGTGTTGGTGCCACCCGACGAGTTCGCTGCAGAGGAGCTTCCGGTGGACTTGCCGCTCAGGTTCAGATGATTCGGCGGGCTGAGGTGATGTGCGTGCGTCGGCGTAGGCGTCGGTGGACTCGGTGCCGGGGTGTTTGACGAGGAGTTCGTCGACGAGGAAGAGGAACAGTAGAGACGAGCGCCATGCATGCTCTGTACATGCTGAAGGAGCTCCCACGCTGAGCACAGTCGCCGGGAGCACTGAGAGCACTGCAGCCACCTTGGCTCTGAAACAGACACACCGACGTCGCGGCGGTTAAGGGTCGTAGTCGTCATCGTAGCGCTCGAGAAATTTTGTTTTGGAGGATTTTCTATCGTCGACTTTGTCTGATTCGTAAGAGCTTTTTGATTGAGTTCACTTTTCACGCGTGAGATCGTAAGCTTAATTCTTCAAATTGATTTTACTCCCGAATTCCTGAAGGGTTAATGTTGCGTCAGAAATATATCTTAAAGTTCGCGAAATTTTCTTTGCACTAAACGTCGTTAGCATATGGTTGTACAGATACTCTGAAAGTGAAATTTTATTTTGGCGAAAGAAAACGAGAGACAAAGAGAGAAAGAGAGAGAGAGAGAGAGAGAGAGAGAGAGAGAGAGAGAGAGA